TTATACTAATGCTTCTGGGTTCCAGCTGGATGGATTCTCAGGTCTAACTATGGAATGAACATTAGTCATCTTCTCATCAAGGGAGTGGAGGCTGCCCAGTGGACCAGCCAGGAAACCAACTTGCCAAATGGCATCAGAAGGCTTGAGAAGATGCCACCTGAAAACCTGGCTAGATGGTTTTCGAAGGAATATACTGACTTCCTGTTCTGCTGTCCTCATTCAGAAGGAAAATTTTTTTAAAAGCCAGACCAAAAACTCAAGGCAAAAAAAGCTCCAAGCTCCAAACTTCCGGCCTCTCTCGAGTGGTTTGCATTAACTGTGCCACAGTACAAACACAATCAACTTGGTCTGTTTGAACGTTTCGTTTTGTTTCTCAGAAATGTTTTAATTAAAACAAAATAATCAGCCATGCTAAGCACATTGTTCTTTTTTTTTTCCCAGAGGCCAATCTGAAAATGGTGACAGAGCTATAAGCAATAAAAAGCAACTGCCTAGGAAAGGGACAGATTTTTTTCCCCCTCCCCTTTTTTCCTGACTGTACTTCTGTCTCAGGGCTGGTGCCACCTGCTGCCCTGGCTTTCCTGAGGAACGAATCTCTCAACGGTCTGTTCCAAACAACATCTGCAGGCAGAGCTGATCACACCATGGGTCAGCCCTTTACGGAGCGCATGCTGAACCACATGGAATTCCTCTTGAAAGCAATTTTTCCCCCCTAAGTCTTTTTAAAGATCTAAACGTATGGGCCTCAACTTTTGTCCCACATATATCTTACAAATTAGTTCATTGTAAGTCCTTAAGCCACCACACTCAAGTCTCCCTGTCACCTTTTCCAGGCCAAAGGACACTGAAAAGAAAGAAAGAAAATACGTATAGACTTAGAGTTGGCTGTGGGCTCATACAACCTATGAGATAAGAATGGCTGTGCTATTTTTCAATGGTTGAACAACAACAACAAAAGAATGATCTTTTTGTTATACGTGAAAATTATGTAAAAATTCAAATTTCAATGACCGTAAATAAGTTTCCTCAGACCACAGGCACATCCTTTGTTCACTTTTTTTGGCCTACAGCTGCTTTGGTGCCAGAATGACAGAGTTATTAGAACAGAGAAGGTCCTCAAAGCTTGAATAATTTACACTCCAAGCCTTTCTAGAAAATGTTTGCTCTCCCCTGTCCTTGGGTGGTACTCTAGGCTCAAACATCTTAAACTAAAGATGGCATATTGCCCATCACCAGACTCTCTAATCTGTATATTATTAATTAAGCACTTCACTTCACTGATAAGCAGTGAACTTTATTTTAAGCATATATTGATTTTCACCCAATTACGCTAAGCTATGACTTGTAAGGGGTGCACCAACTTTCTGTTCCGGAGCCCTGGAGGCTTGTGGTATGTAACACATCTGGCTAACTGAAAGGATGGGGATTTGAATCCATCTCTGTGGGAGAAAAATGGGCATTAAAGATTCACAGCCTGGGAAACCTTGTGGAGTGTCACAATGAGTGGAAACTGCTTCTGTGGCTGTGGGTTTGGTTTGAGGAACTTGCTATTTACCATCGAGTTGGAACTGACTCACAACTGACCCTCCAGTGGGTTTTCAGATGCCATAAATCTCACAAGAGGAGACCACCCAACTTTCTCCTGAGGGGCATCTGGTAGATTTGAACTATGTGCCTTCGGCTTGGCAACATAGCCCCTTACAACAACACTGCCAGAGCGTGCTGTTTACTAATAGTGAATTGAATCAGAGCACCTTCTTCATTTAGGATTTATAAAAGGGCTCTTTGCATTATCTCAAGCATTTCAGTATTTTGGTCTAGGACCCAAAACAAATATTCACAAAAGGATTAGGGGTCTCTGATACCAAGTCAAAACTATGTTTCTTTAAAGAGTATAAAAGTAACCAGTATAGAGGGAGCTCTGGTGGCCTAGTGGCAAGAAGCTGCACTATAACCCCAGAAGTACACAGTTCAAATCCACCAGACACTCTGCTAGAAAAGGAGGGACTATCTCCTCCTGTACCTGTCAGATCCGATTTGACAGTACACACACACACACACACACACACAAGTAACCAGTGTATTGACGAGACTACTCTTCAGAATCCCTCCTCTGCAGACAGTAGATTAGGATCCTCAGAATTCCCAGGAGGGGCAGGGCACTGGGAGAGTGTAAAGTTGACTAGATTCATGGGTCTTGTGGGTAGGCATGCGATAGGCTAAGAACAGGGATCACACAGGGGAGCTGGAAGAGAATGAGCCTCAACCCTGAAAGACAGTTATCACAAAGTGTAACCTGAGTCAAGACAGCCTCCTGAAGCACACCTGTTCATTCACTCCCAAATGGAGTGAAAATCCCCCAGTCACAGGTGCAGACCTCAAGTGGCTCAGGTCCCCCTGGCTTTCCCTCCTCTGCAGGTCAGTAAATTCCAAACAGGACCTTTGCTAAGAAAAGACCACTGGCCCCAATGGGCCAGGCCGCTTTCCTCCTTGAAAAGCGGAGTCTAGATTCTGCCAGGAACCTCTCTACCTTATCAGTAAACAGAGAAGGGGAGAATCTCAAAGGAAGAAGGAAGGAGGGAATGGGGAGATCATTTGGGGTTGGCTCCGGACTATAATTAGAAGGGACATTGATAGGGAATGAGCTAACTGTTTTCATAAAGTCAGCATTCAAAAATGCAAACCACCGGCAATTTAAATATTATAAAACGGTGCAGAATATAAGTATTGAAATAATTTTTTCCGTCCACAGAATTTTTGAGAAAATTATAGTATTGAAAATTATAAAATGGCGGGCTTGGCATGTCCTCAGAGTAAAACGTGTTTTTTATTGGAAAGGATTTTAAAAATTAGTGGGTAGGCTCTAGACAGGATGTGATCCTGAAGGCCATGTGGTATCTCCCTAAAACTCTTTCTGGAACTTGGGGGTGGCGGTGGAGAAAGTTAAAAAGACACCAATGCACCAACATTGTAGGAAACCAATCACTTCCCCAAATCATTTCACGGTGCAGTTCCTGGGTGGTGCAAAGGGTTAAGTATCCAGTCACTAGCTTACTAACGGTTGATGGTTTGAACCCACTCAGAGGGGCCCTGGAAGACAGGCCTGGCAATCAATTGGCTTCAAAAAACTGAAGTCATTCAACCATATGCCACCATGGGGTTGATAGGAGTTGGCATCAACTCAACAACCATCATCTTAGATCCGTAAATGAGAGCACCCCAAAAGTTGAGGTTCAAAAGAGCTGCCGAGTCCGTCCTTTCCTGGCAAAGCAAAGGTGTGCACAGAGAGGATGCCACGTCCTGGCTTAGTGTAAGGAGCTACTCTGCCAGCCCAAAGGCAAATGGTTCAAATCTATCAGTTGCTCCATGGTAGAAAGATGGGTAATTGCTTCTGATGTGATTTACTGCCTCAGAACACCAGCCAGAGGGTCAGTCACGAGTTAGGTCAGTACCTAACTCGTAGGCACCCAACAATAAGAACAGTATGGAGTTGGTGCACTTCCTGCCCTTTCCAGAGGGGAACCGGCTTATTTTCACTCATCGCTCTTTTTCTCTACCTTCTCTCTTGCACTCTCTGTAAAGGACATTAAATCCTGACCACACAGATGGCACAGTGGTGCTAAGGGGTTACTAGGTTACAGTTATGTTGACATATTCTGGCGCAGAATGTCCCACTCACTCCTCACACACAGCAAATAGTGGAAGTGTTCAAACTGTAAAAGGTCCCATAGAAGGCGGGCTGTCACTCAGAAACCACTCACTCTGCCTTAGTTGGGCAGCATTTCGAGATCCCCTCCTACCACTGATCTGAAGCCACACTCTCTGCCTTTTATAGGCACCAATCCGACTGGATGGACACTTACAGCATTAGAGGGGCAAATGAGGTGTTTAGCACTTGGTGAACCGTGCAGCACTATAAAAAGGATTATTAAAGGATGTTTATTGAGAGCCTTCCACTAGCGGGTGCGTTACCTTCAGTATGTCATTTCATCCTTACCGGTCGCTGGCAAGAGAGGCATTGAGAATCCTCTCTCCCCTTTACAGACCAGGAAACAGAAGGCATGGCCCAAGGTCACACAGTAAGTGACACCACCAAGTCCTAGTTTTTACACTAACCCAAGCTGCTGAGTACACACAGCAATTCTTGAGTATTCTTTCACCAGCAAAATTGCATCTTTCCAACAATCACAGTCTGCACCTTTGGGTGGAGAACACGGAGGCTGGTTTTCCTATGGTGAGAGGCTGGTAGTGAACTCGTCCCAATCCCTTATGCAAATGCCCAACCTTCAATACTTCAACAACCCGCAGGAGATTACTAGCTGGGGCAGATGACACCCTCAAGTCTACTCTTCAACTAGGAAAGGGTTCCCCTGCTAGGAGCGGTGTGGGTGGACACGAAGGGGAGTCCCAGGATCCATTCTGCACCTCATCACAGGAAGACCTGGCTTTGGACTGGACGTGACAGTCCATCCATCCAGTGACCCTGTTCAAAGTGTGTGTCCACCAGGGCTGGGGAGGGGGTGGGGGGAGGCTCAACACTGCGACCTCCTGGGATCAGTCTGGGAGAAATTCCCCCTCGTCCTCTCCGTTTCTCCAGGTCTCCTGGCCTTGCCACCCCCTGAGTCAGGGGAAGTTCAAGGCCGGCCGGGAGGGAAGGGAGGTGGCGTCCCCGCGATTGCAGGGCACGCGAGGCGGCGAGGCAGCGGTCAGCAGGGGGCCAGCCCACCGGGCAGCGGGGCGCCAGTCCTCCCGCCTCTCGCGCCCACGTTCGCACGCAGGGGGCGCTAGGGGGTCTCGGGGTCGGCCGGCCGGCGACGGCTGCGACGCGTGGGTGTCGTTGGGGCCCTCGGGGAAAAGGGGTGCCGCGGAGACCCGGACCCAGGGGTCGCTGCCGAGGGACTCGCGGGGGGCAGTCGTGCGGGGGGGAGAGGGGGCCGCCGCCGTGTCCGAGGGCATCGCTGGAGGGCTTCAGAGAGGGGTGCGGGGTTTTGAAGCCCCGGATGGTCGCGGAGGGGCCTGGGGGGGGTCCCCGGAGGAAGCTCGACGGGGAGCGTCCTGGCTCGAGGGGCATCACTGTGGGATTTGGGGGACAGGCCCGGGAGGCCCTGAGACTGGGGGTACGCGTCGCCCCTCGGCGAGTTCCTTGCCGGGGGGGCGTCGAGGGGTCGCTCACTCACCGGGTCCGGGCGCGGGCCG